ATTGCTATACTACAGGGTAGGCCATTTATATGGATACACCGTATAACATGGGAATGGTTGGTGATATTAAAGTCCTGTTTGTGGCACATTAGTATATGTGAGGGGGCAAACTCCTCAAGATGGGTGGTGACCATGGTGGCTATTTAGAAGTCGGCCATCTTGGATACAACTTTTTTTTTTTCAATAGGAAGAGGGCCATGTGACACATCAAAGTTATTGGTAATGTCACAAGAAAAACAATGGTGTGCTTGGTTTCAGCGTAACTTTATTCTTTCATGAGTTATTTACAAGTTTCTCTTTGTTCACAGCCATTGACATGTCGAAGAGGTTAACACGTGAGGAGCGGATCGAAATTGTGTTGATATCTGGTGAACGCAGTAACCGGGTCATTGCAGCAGATTTCAATGCAAGACACCCTACGAAACCACCCATCTCCCATGCTACAGTTAGCAAACTGCTTGCTAAGCTTCGTGAAACTGGTTCAGTGTTGGATTTGCCAAAATTTGGACACAGGAAAACTGTCACTGATGAAGAAACATCAGTTTCAACAAATAACTCATGAAAGAATAAAGTTACGCTGAAACCAAGCACACCATTGTTTTTCTTGTGACATTACCAATACGTTTGATGTGTCACATGGCCCTCTTCCTGTTGGAAAAACAAAAGTTGTATCCAAGATGGCCAACTTCTAAATGGCCACCATGGTCACCACCCATCTTGAGGAGTTTGCCCCCTCACATATACTAATGTGCCACAAACAGGACTTTAATATCACCAACCATTCCCATGTTATTACGGTGTATCCATATAAATGGTCCACCCTGTAGAACACAAGGGTGTCATGAATGCCCGTTTATCTTTCTTTTGATTGTTTCATTTTTACCTGCCTGGAGGGTACACCAATTTACAAAGCAGGAAGTTAATGCAATTTATAAAACCTGAGGTTTGGTTTATTTTTTACCAAGTAGTAGCCTATACTGGCATACAAAGTCAAGAACAGAAAAATAATCAACAGTACTCCATTTTTATCTCTAACTTCAACTTACTTTGTCAGCGCTCAGCCGTGCTTACCTTTCGCTGCTGCTCACGTTGCACAGCCTGCTGAAAGGCAGACACAAGATCTCTTTCTGAGCTGAGGGACAATTTGTCAGGTCCATGTGCTGACATGACAGTGAAAACTGTAGTAGGCAAACAGCTGTGCCTTTGTGTGACAACAAAAGCAGAAGGTGTAAATGAATAATAGATTCAAATAGCTCTAATTATTGTATCGCTATCCGGCTGAATGCTTTCTTTTATACTGCTCGTGAAAAACGATGCACACATATTTAAATACAACGCCATATGCTATTATTAAAACCTTAATTATGACATTATTAATGCTTCATATTGTTTTTCTTCATAAAAAAAATAAGAACATTTACTGGGCTTGTTGATTGACTCACCATAAACCTTATAAGTTACGCCTTTATTCTATGCTATTATTGCCTTAATTCTTTGTGGTTTGGGTTCAACAAGGAGCTGGAAACTTTTCTCAGAGGATTTTGCTCCATATTGACATGATAGTGTCACACAGTTGCTGCAGATTCATCGGCTGCACATCCATGATGCAAATCTCTTCTTCCAACCACATTCCAAAGACACTCTGTTAGACTGAGATCAGGTGACAGTGGGACGGTTTGAGTTTAGATAACTCGTTGTCATGTTCGAGATGATCTCAGCTTTGTGACACTGTGCGTTATCATACTGAATGCAACCATCAGGAGACGGCTACACTGCCGTCATAAAGGCCTGAACATGGTCAGCGATAGTACTCGGGTAAACTGTGGTGCTTAACTGATCCTCAAAACAGGCTCAAAGCGTGCCAGGAAAATATCCCCATGCATTTACACCACCATCATCCTGACCTGCTGACACAAGGCAGGTAGATCCATGCTTTTGTACTGTTTATGTTCAATTCTGACCAAACCTTCAGGGGCACATATGCATGACTCTTTGTGGGCCCTGTTCCATTCTTGATCCATATCTTACATGATTTTATTTCATTTTATTTCAACAAATAATTTAGTTCATAACTGTACACAATAATCTGTAGTGTAGCCATTCATGAGCTGCCTTTAAAAAAACATAAGACCAAAAGTCTGTTTAGTTTGAAATATCCCCACATTTCTACAATTATATTAAGTTTCAATGAGTTTAGCTTGGAGTATCCAACTTAGGGGTGTATTATTTTCTTCATTTATATTTCAGTATTTATTATTCTCTTGGCATAAAAAAGCTTAAAGTGCAATCTTAGCTTTCTAACATGCTCTGTCCTCTCCGCGTCCTTCCCATCACCCCAGGGTAACCTTCATTTTGCTCTCTCTTTTCACTTCCATCATCTTTTATCGCATTCAGGACTGATTGCAGCCCCTTAACCTTACAGCATCATGCTGCTTTCAACCTGTTTGGCACAAAGGCACATCAGAGGTCAAACCAGATCATCAAGGCAAACCAGAATAATTATAAATGTACTTGTCTTGATCATTGTGTGTAAAAAGCGTAAATAAGTATCCATATTTACTTGTTTCCATGAAAGTCTAATGACAGTATTGTACAGGTCTAACAGCAGTGTGTTTACGATATGTGCGATGATGTAACAGCCGCCATCTGTTAGTGTTCCTTTGATGCTATCAAACATAAAAGTTATACAGCAGTTTTTTGGTCTTGACTGGATGATTTAGCAGAACATGAAACTGAAGCTGAAGCTGCTATTGATAGAAAAGACTAGAATAACTTTAAACTGCTGCTACATGTGCTCACCTAGTATCACATAATCTAGAGAGGGACCTGCTGCTGCTTCAGTCTCTGGCTGTTTCTGAAATGAATATTCATGTGTTAATGAGTTAAGTCGTGCTGGCTAACTCTGATAGAACCACTGGCTCACTGTCTTTAGCAAACGCTCTTAGCTAAACCATTCTTAACCTGTTAGTTGTGCTCTGCTCACCTTTATTTTGAAAGAAGTCTGTTAATGGCTCATTTGCCTCACTTTGCTTTCTTTCCCTTTCCTTTCTTTTGATTCCTTGGTTAGAGAGATGACTTCAGGTATGCATTATCAGTCAACTGTAAAGTCGAGTCCAAGTGTGGGGTGAATGAAATGATTTCGTGTCAGGAGATTTATTCAAGTACTGCAAACAAAAACAAACTTGTCATTCCTGTAGTTGGGGCTCTGGGGAATCTGTCCAACTTCTTCCTCTGCTACAACATCCATGCTACCATCCGAATGTCACAGACTCATCAGCCTTGCCAACCTTTGTCCAATTCTCTAGTTTTGGTGAATGTGTGCCAACTGTAGCTTCAGTTTCCTGTTGTTAACTGACAGGAATGACACATGGTGTGGTCTTTTGCTGCTGTAGCCCATCTGCTGCAACGTTCAATTTGCTGTGCGTTGAGAGATTCAAAGTCTCTTAAATCACATTTTTTCCTGATCCTAATACTCAGAAATGTGTCACCAGAGGGTGGTCAGAAAATACCAACATGCACATTTATTTATGTTGATCTGAGCAGCAGAAAGTTCACAGAAGCAGTGGACCTGTGAGCTCATGAGAAATAAACGTGAATTTTGTTTTCTTCCTTCTTTAGTTTTATTAAAATTGTATTTGAGAATTGACTTTGTGCTTACTTAAATGTATGCAATGATGTCTTGGGAAATATTCATGTGCACTTCTATCGAACAAGGAAATGGTTAGTGTGGCTTGACCTAATTAAAATGTGACATCATTTTTTTTGGTTTTGTTTGTCTTGTTTTGTACATGAACAAACGTGTAAAACTCAACTTCATTATGACCAAATACATGACCCTTCCTAAAACCAACTTGTTAGTTGTGTCTAACCATAGTCGCATTTGCTCGCTATATTTTTAGTTGAGTGAGCAAATTTGGAATATGTAACTAGGCCAGCAAGTCACACAAAAAAAAAAATACAGTGAAATGAAAAGGCTTCCATATGCAGTCCAGAGCCACATTTTATAGATGCCAAAATAATGAGATATGACTCAGGGATTATTAAAAACATGACCATGTCAGACTGTCAGGTTTCTTAATTTACTGCTGTGTAATAAGCAAACTACTGAGTGTCACGTGCATACAGACTTGTATAGAAGCTGCTGTCACCACTAGACCCCTGGTAAGCCATGGTAACCACTTCCTTGGCTGCATTCTCCTGCTTGCAACCTCAGAAGATGATTTAAAAAGCAAACTAGTCTGAATTAATTTTTTTAATTCACAAAAGACTCCGATGATATCCTGGGCAGAAAGAAGATTGATTTAAAAACCATTGGTTACAAGTTTACAATCAAAAGTATATTAGTTACAGATACAGGCCATTAAGTCCTGGTGATAACAGGCTATTAAGCTTGAGCACTGACTTAATTTAATATGCGAGAACTTCCAATCCTGAAGGGACTCAATACAATCCTGTTGACTTTGTAGATTTTCAATAAATATATTTTTTCAAAAAAACCAAAACATAAAGTGCACCTTCATACCGCCAGTGGACCTGCAGTCTGCTAGGTGTTCCCCTAAAACTCTGTCGTCACACAGTCACGACTGGTGCGCGTAACGTGTACATGCCATGATCATGTTCCTCCTCCTCTTTCTCCTCCTCCTCCTCCTCCTCCTCATCTTTCACATACATTAGGGTTTCCCTTTGCACGCAACAGCCATGAAATAAACGAAAAAATCAGAGTCCTCCGTGCGGTGCGGTCTTCCAGCCAATTCACCAACTGGAGTATTTGTGCACCACCATGCAAGCGGCGGGCACCGCGGCAGCTGATGCCGATGCTACTGTAAACAGTGGCAGCAGCAGCAGCGCCGCAGCCATAAGCGACAGAGACGGGGCAGGGGAGAGGATGGAGAGGACGGTGCCAAGCGAACAGCAGCAGGACAGGACCAACAACCAGCAGCAGCATCAACAGACGTCCTCAACCCCGTCTGGAGTGTTGAGTGAGTATCGCAGAGAAAGATTGAGGGGGTGGGGAGAGGGGTGAACTGCAAAATGTGTGTGTGGACTCGCTTTCTCTGTGGTCACAGAAAGCGAGTGTTTGTGTGCCTTTACCAAAAAAAAAAGAAAAAAGAAAAAAAGAAATGAGTGAGAGAATGGGGATAATGCACAAACGATATGGTGCAGTCACTGATGCTGAACAGACTTTACTGAATGACTCACTGGGGAGACAGGAGGGATCCGTCTGTGACTGGGTTGAGGTTTCCGTGTCCTTTAATTTCGCCGCTACACGGTGCGCATTCCGATTCAGGCAGGCCCGGGAAGAGTCCGAGGCAGGCTTTCTGGTCCACAGGTGCATGAAGGGCTGATATGCAACGGAGGTGTGTGTCCCGGCGGGCTGTCGGATACTGTGCGCTATACTCCGAAGACACTAAATAATGCGCTGCGAGCTCAGATGTCAGCTGTGACTTTACACGGAGAAATAGCATGCTACAGTAGTGAGTAAGCAAGAGGTGGATGGATGGATGGATGGATGGATGGATGGAGTATGAAGATTATAAAAAGCAGTGAGAACTATATGCGCTGTCATCTTTTACTCCACTCTTCTGTGACAATTCATGGGGGTTTGCTCTGTGGTGGCATGTTTCAGGACGCATAGATACCTTGCCTTTATTAAAGACTCAGGTAATAGTCTGGGCCTCTTACTGTATAACCCTTACAGTCCTGGCCTGAACAGTGTCACGATAGCTACTGCTTTCATTTACGATCTGACTTCAACCAGCCAGCGTAAACCACACTGGGGGGAACTTTGGTGTCACATAATATATATACATACATAAAAAAGAACTTTAAACTTTCAAAGGTTTGGAAAGATATCCTACCATTTCCCATTGCTCTGTCAATCTGGAGGCTACAGCAGATTATCAAAGCTTTCGTCTTTCTGGTTTGTGTGTAGCCTGTTTGTTGAAGACTTTGCACTTCATGGATTCTTGCCTGCTGTTTGACCATTGCATGCTGGGAAACCACCCCATCCCAACTTGACTTGGCAACAGAGCATGTAAACAATATTTAGGCTTACTCCTGAATAAATATTTAAATTAGTAGTAAAATCAAACGGAAAAAAACTTGTTGAGAAGTAACTTTCTAAAAGCATTCTTGAGCTATAACTTGCTATCTGATGAATCCCAACAAAAATATGACACAGAGTAAACTAAGACACAGTCTCATATTTGATCTAATATTTAATATTTACTGTTAGACTTGTTTTTTAGAGTCCCATTGCGCTTGATAAATATCATCATTCTCATTCGTTATGTGAAACCTCTCACGTTTGTATCAGTAAACTAGATGTTAAAATCACAATTAATGATCAGAAAAGCAAAACAAACTGCAAAACCTGGACTGATATAAAAACGCAGCTGTGAAAAAAAATATCCGATAGCCAGTGCTTAGTAAGTGTAATTTTGTTTGTCATGTTATGTATTAATTTATCTATAATTAATATGATAAATATGTCTCATGGTGTGCACCTGCTCCATTGCATTCTTATATTAAATAAGCTCATCATTTAAAGATAATTTGACCCTAATTTGATAAAATGCTTCTTCCCGCGAGAGAAATTTGCATGTCAGACACACGTTCAAGTAGAGGATTCTTCATGGCTTTAATGAGCATTTCTGTCATGGGGGAACCAGCGAGAACATCGGTGTGCAGTACTCTGAAACACACAGAGCATGGAGTAGAACCAGCCAGTGTCTGTAGCTTGGCTTGGATCGCATCATTATGTCATACAAAACGTCAGATCTTTATGAATTTATTCATCGCATTTCTGGTTAGGTGTGATTGATGTTGGAGTTTATTAGTTATGTATTGAATGCAGTGAGCCACAAAATACTGTAACACAGAAGATGACAGCAGCACTGAAGGCCCTCAGAAAGAGGGCTATATGTGCTGTAAGTAGGTGATGTGATATTGCAGAATGTGACATCCAGAAGACAGGCACACACTGAAAGAGTGTTACAGTATAATTCAGTGAACTATGAAGCGATTCGCCCATCACCGTGGCTGTCGCTCCTGAGCGTGAGCCACTGAAAACCAATGTGTGAAAGGCACAGCAATAAAAATGATGACTTCAGACTTCAGCGTGTCGTTATAATGCACAAGTGGGATGACGCTGCTGAGTACAACCGAGGCCTGTTGGTTTGTCAGCACTTAATTTTTATCTAGAGAGGCTTGAAAAAGTAGCTTGTTAGTGAGTATTTACTCACCGACCAGTTTGCAGATGGTTTGTTTGTTTGCCTCTCAGAACATTTGCTCAGTCACAGCACTGTTAACCTTCACTGGAGATGACTCATTATTTTCTACATTTCAGTCCCTATGCCACCATGACAGAGCAAACAGTTAATAGTGAATGGAAAATGTTGTGATTAAACTGATATCAATGAAAAACTGGTCAGTTGTGGTTAGCATCTGTCTTTTTTCTCCTTAAACCTTGTTAACCCCAGTTTGACCCAGTCTCATCCTTTCTCTATATTACCTGTCTTTCTTAGATAAACTGTTTGGGAAGCGACTTCTACAGGCCAGGCACTTTATTATGTCACGGAAGTCCTGGTTAAAGATGGTTCCCACAGAGAACTGTGATATACTGATGACATTCCCAGGTACAGTAAGCTCAGACGTGTCCTGTTTGTTTTGTCTGTCCTGTGCTGAAGCCCTTGCTGCAGAGAGAACAGTGTTCATTTAATATCAGTGATGATCAGCCACCCACTTAGTCAGATGATTGTGACTATCAGATGGGCTCTGGGGACAATTAGAAATCTTCCATTTACTGTGCTTGTATTTGCACACCATCCCCTTCTGCAGTGTATTTTAATGAAGCTGTGAATTCGTTGGCCAAACCTTTACATATACAACACGAAAGTCCCATCCTATTCATTATGTGGCATTTTAACATGATACCGTTTGTGTGGGGTCTATGTTAGAATGCTTTTGTAAATAATCTTTGGTGACATGAAATCCTGCAGCATATATGTTCAGTTTACTGCATCTGTCTGGTATTTCTACTCTTCATTTTCAAGACAGTGTGTCCTGGTTTTGAGGTGTAAATTTTGCGACCTGAATTCCCAAAAAGGTGGGATGCTGCGTAAAAACAGAATACAATTATTTGCTGATCTCATAAATACATATTGTACTTACAGTGGAATACGGAAAACATCAAATGTTTAAAGTGAGACATTTGACCAAGACTGCAGGGGGACTCCTAATCCTCCAACCAGTGTAAAATCTTAACCAAATCAAACATGTGCATCATAAAGAATGAGATAACCATGTCCGGTCAGGGCCTGGGTTAACAAGGACTGCATCGGGTGCCGTTGGCCAACAGGGTGCTGGAGGAATCTGTGCTACTGTTGTTGAAAGATAAAGAAAGAGGAAAGGGGAAGGCATGTTTGAAGGTAAGGAGAGAGAAGGAAAGGCAGGGGAAAGTAGCAAATCTAGGGACTATAACTGGTAAAGAAAGAGAGCTGGCTGATATGATGGAGAGAAGGAAACTAAATATATTATGTGTGCAGGAGACCAGGTAGAATGGAACATTGTAGGTGGATTCAAGCTGTTTTACCATGCTGTAAGTAGGAAGAGAAATGAAGTAGGGGTAATCTTGTTGGAAGAGTGTGTGAACAGTGTTACTGAGGTGAAGAGATTTTCAAAGTGCCCAAAAGGTTAGATGTGAATAAAAAGAGAAAGAGGAACTCTGGAGTAAGTTGGATGACGTGCAAGAGAGTGTCTGAAGGGGGAAGAGGGTGGTGATTGGAGCAGACGTCAATGGACATTTGCGTGACAGAAACAGAGGTGTTAAGTGGGTATGGTGTTAAGGAGAGAAACACAGAAGGACAGATGGGGGTGGATTTTTGCCAAAACTATAGAAATGGCTTTGGTAGGGAGGTAAGAGGGAGGACCACGGCATGACATATAAGATTGGAGGAAGGTGCACACAGGTGGATGACATCTTGTGCAGAACGTGCAGTCTTAAAGAGATAGGAGGCAGTAAGGTGGTGTCAGGAATGTAGTTATAGGGAACATCAGATGTCTGTAGGATGAGTGAAGGCAGATATAAGGATTAAATAATGCAACAGTCAAAGGACAATAAAGGTGAAGAAGAGAGTCAAGCAGGGTGGAGTGGAGGGACACGGTTGTCAAGGGTGAACTCTGACAGAAGAATGGCACCAAGAGTGAAAGGGATGGTAGTGAGACCTGCTATGATGTATGATTTGTAAATGGTGGCAGGAATTTGACAAATTTCCTCTCCCAAATTTCCAGTAACTGCTCTCCTCAGTCACCGGATTTTTACAGGCTGCTGTTAAAAGGAGAGGGGATGTTACACAGTGGTTTACACGACCCTGTCCCAACCTTTTTATGAGACATGTAATCATTATAAAATGGTACATTTTCTCAGCTTAAGTATTTAATATGTATTTGAAATGTCTTCTTGTCAACAAAATGTGTTTATGCAATTTTATTATCCTTATTATTAAGAACTGAGGTTATATATATATATATAACCTCAGTTCTTATATATATAATGTCTTATATATATAATGTAAAATGAATTTCATTTAACTTAATTAGAGTAAAGGGATGGTTGAGACTGTTAAGATGTTTTGTGGTAAAACAGGAATTGAAATGTAAACTCTTCGACATTGGATCTTACGATTACTATGAAGATTTTTTATGATTAAGAAAACAAATCTGAAGAATGCGCGTCTGTTTTTTATGACCACTCTGAAAAACCTTTTCACTGCACACACTTCCTTTTGAGCCGACCTTCAGCGGAAACGTCAGCTGCTTTGATTGTTTAGAGTTCAACTGTTTCCACCTATTTACGCTTTGATGTTTTAAGTCATTCATCTGAAAGTGCACACATGACGCACAGAATTGCACCTTAACTGTCTTATCTTGCGTACCTGCAGTTTTTAATCAAGGCAGGCATGCTTGAATTTTAACCAGAAAATGTAGTCTTATCGAGTCAGCTGAAGCAGTTTTTAATCAACCATAAATGGCTCAGTATGAGTTTATTCTAAGCAATCAAAGACAGCAGCTGTTACAAAATTGTAACTCAACAATGTGCAACAGTCAGAGCTGAATCTGACAGAAAGAAACACACACGGCACATGTTTATATATAAATTGCACCTGTTTTAAAGCGTTTCCACGTTAGATGAACTTAATGTTGTAAATGCTTTTCAGTGTGATGTTTAGTGTTAGTAAGGTCTACAACAGTTTCATTACTGGTTCAAATTTTTCATAGTCAGCTGAAAAAGATTGATTGGTTACAGTCCATCCTCAATAGCTTTTAAAAAAATCTTTGTGGTAAATGGAGACAAGTATTTAACTGGAAAGGCCTGTTACTGCCACCTCCACCTCCCACCTACCTCCCTGCTTCATGACACTTCAGTCAGAGCTGTGAAAAACTGGCTTTGGTTCAGCCTCCTTACATCAAACATGTAATTTCCTTATAGTTTTGATAAACGAGACTCTAAACCTGCCAAGTTAATTTAGACAGTAATAAAACTACATGTAAATGACATTAATGCGACTGATAAAAAATGTCAACATTTTTCCCTACAGACACAATAGATGACCACACTCTGCTGTGGCTCCTTAATCAGATTCGAGTTGGAATCCCACAAGTCAGCATCCAGGTTCGACAGCATAAACACACCCAGGCAAACGCCTTCTTCATCACAACAACGTTTGAGAAGTAGGTAACTCAAACTCTGTCTGTGTGTGTTACGCCATTTTGACATTTTATACCATTATTGATTTACACCTGCTTCATCTTAGCCACAAACAAATACCCGGACTTAGTGTTGGGTCGTGGCAAATAAATGTGTTTTGGTATGAAAGAACTGTGTGTTTACAGCTCCGATTCAGTTAGGTGCAGTTAGATACAAAAATGTGAAGTATTAATTTTACATACATGATTAGATGGTTTTGGCATATACAGTTAGGCCCATAACTGTCTACTGTTGGTAGAAAGTCATTTTTGTTTTTCCGTTACGTGATCTTGTGTGCACCGTCACAGTGGATTTTAAGATTAAAGCCCAGAGTTTCAGCTTTAATTAAAGAGTTTTAAAAAAATTATTATTATTTTTTTAAACTAACATAATTTTAAATATGAGGACTGTTTTTAATATTTGAAAATCCTTTGTAGTCAATGACTGCCTCAGGTCTTGAACTCATGGACATTACCAAATGCTTTGAATGCTGTGTTTGCACTTTGTCCCACATAGCAAAATTGGTATGGTCCGAATCTGGCCCACACAATGTGCTTAGACATGGCCCACATACCGCAAAGAATGACAGCCCTTTGGTGGCCAGGATCTGGTTTGCCAAAGGTGGCCCACACATGGGCCAGCACAAGGCCAGTTGCAGACACACTGCTGGCCCTGTGCTGGTAAATGGCCTGCATTTGTATAGCGCTTTACTCAGTCACTAAGGACCCCAAAGCGCTTTACACTACATTCAGTCATTCACCCATTCACACACACATTCACACACTGGCAATGGCAAGCTACATTGTAGCCACAGCTGCCCTGGGGCGCACTGACAGAGGCGAGGCTGCCGGACACTGGCGCCACCGGGCCCTCTGGCCTCTGTGCTGGCCCAGAACAGTTTCAGCTCTGGCCCCAGATGTCAACCTAATGTGTACCTTAATAAAGCCATGTAATAAGAACATGTGCATAATAGTGCAAAAGTAACATGACAACACTCTGTTCAGGCAGTGAATGGACTGATTCATATATAGCATTTTTCAGCTCTCCCAGATTACTCAAAGTGCTTTATACAACATGCCACATTCACTCAACCACACACTTTCACTTAACTGAGTGCTTCCTAACTACATTCATACACATTCGCACTCACAACATGCAGACTGGATTAGCCAGGTATCTGGGAGCCAGATATGGGAGCCAGGGCCTGGCCCATATCTGGAAAACATACGTCTTATCATGCCAGAGGTCGGCATGATACATTGCCGGTTTAATACCAGATCCGGGCCAGACCACCTTGCAATGTGGGATAGCTCTGTCTGATCAGTTTGCAGCATTTAATTTGTCTGAGTCAGAGCTGTACACATCACCGTTCATCCTGCTGCTTCTATCAGCATCATCATCATCGATAAACATGCCAGTCATACATGCCCATGCCATAACACTACCTCCACCATGTTTGACAGATGATGTGGTGTACTTTATTTCATTAACTGTTTCGATTTTTCTTCAGACTTTTCTCTTCCCATCATTCTGATATAAGCTCATCTTGGTTTCATCTCTTCTTTTTCAAGAACCGTGGAGGCTTTTTAGATGTTTTCTGGCAAAGTTGAATCTGATCTTCTAGTTCTTGAGTTTAACTGGTGGTTTTCTCTCATTATTTACACTCATGAAGATGTCTGTTGATTGGAGATCTTGACAATGATACCTCCTCCAGAGTGTTCTTGACTTGGTCTGAAGTGTTTTTGTTAACTAAGGAAAATAATTCACAATTAATCCGCTTTAGTTGTCCTCTGTGGTCATTTTTTATCATTGGTGTTGAAGATCTGGCAAGTACATTCATTCTTTTTAACAATGTACCAAGGTGGAGTGGGTGGAGATGAGAATTAGGGGTGATTTGTGACTCTAGAATAGCAGCAAGAGTGAAAGACGGGTGAGACCTGCTATGATTTATGCTTTGGATACAGTGGCATGAACACAAAGACAGGAGGTAGTAGAGTTGAAGATGTTAAGATTTTCATTGGGAGGGACCAGAGTGGAAAAGATTAGAAATTAGTACATTAGAGGAACAGCTCAGGTTTAGTGGTATGGAGACAAAGTTAGAGAAGCAAGGAGATGATTTGGACATGTGCAGAGAAGGTAGTGGATATATTGGAAAAAGACTGTGCCAGCTGCCAGGGAGAAGGAAAAGATGAAGACCACAAACGAGATTCATGGATGTGAAGGAGGACATGCAGTGATTTGGTGTGACAGAGAAGGATGCCTGAGAGAAAGGGAGTCGGAGGCAGATGACCAGCTGTGTTACAAAAGACCAGGTCTTACCCAGCCAAAAAAAAATTGGCATTTAGTCAATTGTTCCAATAATAATTTTGTGGCTCTGAAAATGGAGTACTAAGTGTAAAATGTCACAGTCAATGAACAAACTCTAAGCAAGAAATGTAATTAGAGTATTAGAGTAAAATTATTTTGAACACATGTGACAAGTCATCCTCCACCTCCACTTGTATTCACTGCAGTTTGATATTCACCGGCCCTTAATGTACCTAAACAATGAAACATTTTCAGTGCCGCGTCTGTGCAGTGTCAGTTCTCCATCAGGGTTTATGCTGCTGTTCATTCACCCTCAGCTTACTGCGAGGAGCGGAGCAGATGGGCATGCACAAGAACGTTAAACCACAGTTTGGTGGTGGCATGCGGCGCTTTTCCTGTGAGGAGGACAACATCTATGAGAACATTGAGAGCGAGCTCTGCTTTTTTACCTCTCAGGTTAGAAGCCAAACCCTGGGTCATGTTTGAATATCTTAAACAGTATAAACGGATTAAAATGTATGTGTTCTTTTTTTTTCCTGCTTCGTGTTCGTGGTTTTGTTCAGGAGCGCCAGAGCATCATTAAGTATTGGCTCGATAACCTGCGAGCCAAGCAGGGGGAGGTGCTTCACAACATTCACTTCCTGGAGGGACAGCCAATCAGTATGCTGGGGGGGGGGGTTTATGAGCACTTTATATTGAGGCATTCCTTAAACACTCCACAAATTCATTTGCTTTTAAATGCAATATTTCATATTTTATCCAAAGTACAAATAGATGCCAAGTTCATCATGAACATCTGTTGTTCTAACACAAGAACCCTCACTGAAAACTATCAGGACATCCACTGTTAGAGTTTTACTTGTTTCACTAAGATAAACTTAATGTATTGTTTTTTTGCTTGATTACATGAGATTTTAGAATCCATGTTTTTCCAAACTTGATGTGTCTCTTTAGTTCCAGAGCTGATAGCTCGGGGGGTGATCCAGCAAATGTTTCCTCTTCATGAGCAGAGGATACTCAACCAGCTGATGACATCTTGGGTCCAGGCTGTATGTGAGAGGCAGCCCCTCGGTAGGAACATTTACAATTTTACTTTGGAGGGCAGTAAACAGAAGGCCTACATACAGTTATAAGGAATATTAAATGACACTGTAAAACATTATGTGATGCCTTCAAATCCTAAACCCTCAACATTTTCAATTTTTCTACTTTGTAGATGACATCTGTGACTACTTTGGGGTGAAGATTGCCATGTATTTTGCTTGGCTGGGTTTCTACACCAACTCCATGCTTTATCCTGCTGTCATTGGCTTTCTCCTCTGGATGCTAGCAGAGGCTGACCAGGTAATTGGACCATTTTTTTTCTTTCTTGAAAACATTTGTAATTTTTGGACACAGATTTTTGACAGTAAATTTGCCTCTGTACACAACCACAGTGGGTTTCAAATACTCAGAAGTAACTGGACAATTGACTACAAACAGAAAAAGCACGTTCCCTCATTATTTCTTGATTAATTAGGAAAAGATCAAAGCTCTAGAGCTGATTCCAAGTGTTCAGCTTGTATTTGGTATTTCTTCTGTTCTCACTATGAGGTCCAAATAGATGTTGATGTAAATGCAGGTCATCATTAATTAGAAAAAAAGAGATGATTGTTTGATGAAAAAATTATTTCCAGGAAACACAACTTCACAACATGTAGCCAAGTCAAAAACACCCTTGAGGATGTAGCCGTGTCATTGTCAACAATCGGTAATGTACAGAATTTAAACAACTCTACATCAAGTCTACAATCAACAGTTGCCTTCATGTGTGGAAGGGTTTGTAAACACTCTGTATTTCCTTGTTGTAACAAGGTGCAAAACACTGGATACACTCAGTAACAAGGAGGCCATATTATGCTTCCCCAGACAACACCTATAACACAAAAGCCTGCACAGTTCTGAACAGGTGAAACCAAAATTAACGAGTGAAAAGAAAAGCAAGAAGAAGTAGAGAAACAGCTCATGAAGCATGCCACATTATCTATTAAAACATGTTGGCGGCAGTGTCATGGTATGACTCCAGTGGAACCGGTTCACTAGTGTTTTCTGATAGAAGTAATGGGATGAATTGGAAGTGTACAAGGCTATACTCTCTACTCAGCCTCAGACAAATATTACAAAACTGATCAGACATTGCTTCACGGTGCAGGTGGATAATGAAAAATGAATGTATACTTCAAAGATATTTACAAAGCAAAGAAATCGGATATACTTCACTGGCCGGGTCTGTCATCCAACAGAGCATGCTTTTCAGGTATTAAATACAAAACTGAATGTAGAGACCCACAAACCAGCAGCAACTGAACACAGATCCTGGACAACCTGAAAGGATTTTCAGGATTTAAAAAAAAAAATCTTTACATTTAAAATTATGCCAGTTTGTCCAATTTCCTTTGAAATGGATGCCTGTGTATAAAACCAGCTTTAATTTCAAAGCAGGTCAAGCCAAACCTTTGTAAAAGGCCTTAAATTAAACATGAAAGTCTGCACTTCAGTCACACCTTCATTGATTTAAAATCCACTGTGGTGGTGTACAGGGGCAAAATAACAACAACAACAAAAAAAGCATATTAATCTCAGGAAGATATTTAATTTTTTCTTTAGCTTGTTGTGGAAATTGAAAAAATGTATTTGTATAAAGCATATTCAGAGTATTATGTCATCAAACATATGGCTGTGGACCACTAAATATTCAAATAGATGATAGTTGATCTACACGGAAATAATCGTATTCGTTTCAGCGTATCGTTTTCTGGTTTGGCTCTCCTGACACTATAAATACTCTGGCACAGAGGCTTTTAATTTGAATGTGTGAGATTGAAAAGATAGCAGTCCCAGACAGGAAGTAGGCAGCTTTGATTTATGGTCAAGCTGACGTGCTGGCACGGTGACAGCAGAACAGACAAAAATCCCTCTTCACGATCGCACAGTTGCTATGTAACATGTAAGGAGTAAACACTGGGGTAGTATGCATGAAAGTAAATATGAAATTTCCACTGAATTGCCTCTAATGTTTTTCATAAAATGGTTAAACTGTTTATGAGTTAAAGCAACACATGATACAAACTAAATAATCTAATCAGTGGCACTGCATGGTATAACTTTATCATCACATGTTACAGCATTTTGTCTTTGGTTCTCTAATGCTCCTGCTCAGACCAGTCAGGATATCTGCTGTGTGGTTTTTGCCCTCTTCAACGTTGTGTGGGCGACTTTGTTTCTGGAGCGCTGGAAGAGGCGAGAGGCAGAGCTGGCTTACAGGTGGGGCACTCTGGATACCCCCACAGAGTCCTTAGAGGAGCCCAGACCTCAGTTCAGGGTGAGCACTGTTTCAGATCTTATACCACCAAGAATTTTTCAGTGATAATGATAATAAACTTCTAAAGCTTTTTTTTTTTAATTAATGGATTCTTTTATTCAGCATTTCCATTTTTATCAAAGTAAAAAGCTATATCGCTGTCTTTGCATGATGCAAGGGATCAGTTACTCAGTTCTGCAGCAAATCTGTTGCGTCACAATTCCAGGAAATGTGATCAACGTGTTTCTAAGAGTATTGTGTGAGTGTGAGTGTGTCTGCGAGGGGGGTGGAGGTGTCCAACTCACTGTGTCCTGCTGTGAGGAATGAATAGAAAGGGGGGGGGGGGTTAATGCCTCAAAAGGGGAGTGTGGGAACTCCTCAGCACAAGCCCGGCTAGCTCAGTCGGTAGAGCATGAGACTCTTAATCTCAGGGTCGTGGGTTCGAGCCCCACGTTGGGCGTCATAGCTTTTAAAGAAGAAACACATATAACCGGAAGTTCTACAAAATAGGAAGATCTGCCTTCTTGGCAGGCAATGTTGCAAATTTTACTGATGGCACGAGTTTCATGTAACAAATTATATAGAGAGAATTAGCTGTTTGCTGTGATAAGACACCTCATTTCATTTTTACACTTCAAATGATGACAAAAATCCCAAAATAGCCTCCAATCTCATATTCAGCCTGGCCCGTCTGTTCCCTCCTCCTCTGCTGTCTCTGCAGGGAGTGAAGCGTTGCAGTCCTATAACTGGCTGTGAGGAGTTCTACTACCCACCCTGGAAGAGAGCTCTGTTCAGATGGCTGGTCAGCCTGCCCATCTGCCTCCTCTGTCTCTGCTTCGTCTTCCTTGCTATGCTCCTCTGCCTAGAACTGCAGGTTTGACACCCAGAACAACCGTGTGCAAGTTCAGTGAGACAAAATGAATTTAATATAGTCATGGAGATTATATATATCTGTGTTTAATTCTACTCTTAATGAAATAAATACAGTATATAAGGAGTTTAACAAGAGAGGTAAAAAGTGAGAACAAATTTGCTTCAGACCAATAAAGTCTATCTTTACTCTGTCATAACGTTACCATGTTTTGTTTTGTTTTTTTAATAAAAGCTATGAAGAATGTAAGATCCATGTCAACTGGTAGTCCTGAGATTTGTGTAATGTGTTATTTTCTAAAACAGGTTAAACAGACCATAATCAACTACACCCCCTACCTGCTCACATTCATTTAACGGCCTTTTAAAAATAGCCCAGGGATTTGAGACATGAATGAACAGGCCATTAAAAATGTATCATACTTCTATTTCACTTTGCAGGAAGTGGTGATGGAGATTCAGGAGCTGCCTAGTATTACAAGATTCATTCCGAAGATACTTCTGGCCATGACAGTAACTGTATGTGATGAAGTGTATAAGAAGATCGCCTACTGGCTCAATGACATGGGTAAGAAGAAATTAAATTTAATGAAGCGTACTTGCCCATGACTGTGATTCAGATTATGTAACTCTTTGGTATGTAGAAGGCTGTCCTATGTCCTAGTCTGCATTTTTACTTTTTGTTAGAGGAAAAACTCCTGCACACTGAATAACACTATTCTTATTTGCATTTCTTTGCCTAGAAAACTACAGACTCCAGAGTGCCTATGAGAATAATCTCATCATCAAGATGGTTTTTGTAAGTCATTATTTCCCCTCATTTGGGGATAAAAACAGTTTACCATGAACGAGTGAGTGAGTGAGCGTTTGCATTTCTGCAATGCTTTCTTCTTGTTTTGCAGTTTGAATTCATCAATTCTTACCTTAGCCTTTTCTACATTGGATTCTACCTCAAGGACATGGAGAGACTAAAGGAGGTAACCACAGTTTTATTTATTAAAAGTAATTTTATCTTCAAATGCCCAAATGTCACTTTGCTGAACACTGGGCACCGTGGCCCAAAGTAGCGACTCTACACCTGAAACTTGGCAGTTTGCAGTAGTAACCTTGTTGTTGTCTGCAATTTTATCAACCAAACTGATTAACCAAAGGATTTTTTTCAGCTGCAGACAGCTTGGTTATTAAGTTAAAATGAGCGCCATATTTTATTTAGTATTTGGGGGCTTTTCACATGAGTTCATTTCCATTTAAGTCAGGAAGTGGAAATAAAACATTACATTAATGGTTGTTGATATTAACTTTATATCTAATTCAGGTTCAGCTACAAAGACATAAACTAACAACCTCAAACCATATGATCACATGACAAAAATGACTTGAATATTCAAATTCATAAGGTCCCTATTTTGTGTGTGTGTGTGTGTGTGTGTGTGTGTGTGTGTGTGTGTGTG